ATCAGCTTTCTTCACCACATTTGCTTATTCACCCGCTTTGTCTTCAGCGGTTGTGTCGGGAAGGTGAGCATCATAGAATGCCAATCACTTACCCATTATATAAGACTCTCTCTTCTACATGAGTTTCTGTGGATTTGTTTCTCAAAAGTACCCAGACTAACACACTGTAACTGTTTATGGGAGTAAAAAGCGTCATCCTTCTCCTGATGAGTGGATGATGATTTTGAACTGTTGACTTTGTAGGTAGCAGCCTAACTCATAAGGACCAGTTAGTAATTCTAGAATAAGCAGATCAACAGACATACCGAGGTTGCGGTGATGATGCTCTCTACTGGCTTCAAATTGGTCGGGTCAACCTTTCCTGCGACCACAATCTCCGAGCCTCCAAAATAGTTATGGAAACTGTTTTGGGTGACATCCGTAGCTGGATGGAGATAGTTGAACTGAATGTTCCGGAGCAATGGAGTGGAGACCTGGTTGTAGAATTTCTACAATTCATAAAAATTGGGAGGATCATTATTTTCGTATCCCTCTACAGGCCTAAAGCACTCTTCTCTGAAATTCCTCAAACGCTTAGCAAATATTCCCACAAGATCTCTGTGAAAAAGCGAAGGGAGGAGGGAAGATTCTCATAATGATCCAATGAAAACATTGAGGTCTGTAGGAGATACAGACTGTTGAGAAATTTCAGGGTCCATCAATAAAAACATTTTTTCCTATTATGATCAACATGGAAAACTCATGGACACGCATTAAAACCTTGTTTCTTCCCTATCGCTAAGTTTACATATGGTGTCTGGCATTGTCGGCGAACCAGGTCAGAGAGGCTCTTCTGCATCTTTGTCCTTATCTACCTTTGAGGAAACTTAAAGGCCATAGTTTGATCTGCCTTCGAACAACACTGGCATTAAAGATACCCATGTACTTTAAAGGGGAACTAGGTGGCCATGGTGATCAGGAGGACCTGTTAGTTAGCAGGACTGGAAAGAAACCAGCTTTGATAGTGGTCTGAGTAGCTCTGGGTACAGATGTGAATAACCACTGATCTGCTGTTTCAACAGCTGACTACAAAGGCAGAAATAGAGGTAGGCAGAGGGTATATGAGAGAAGATCTGAATAGCTCCCCCTGATGCTCATGATTAACTATAGTTAAGAATGATGACAATTTGGAGTCAGATTTGACCATCTTCTCTTAGGCATTAGTTATTACTGTTGGGCGATTTGGAGTAAAGGGGGGAAATGTTACCTTGAGCTGGGAAGACGTGTCCTGGTTTCCATATATCCTTTGAGCAATCCCACGGTTTTCATTAGAGAGTCTCTTCAAAAAATCATAGTCAACATCGAATCCTATCCCCAAACTGAACAAGGAGATATTGTCTCGTATGTTCTGCTTCACATTTTTCTGAATTTTTGACAATTTAAGTTCTCCTACGGTTCACGATAACACAAAAAGAATGAGGAAGCAATGTTATCACGTTTGTGGAAAATGTATTTGGGTAGTTTAGGCAAAAGTTGTCATCTGAAGAAGGCACCTACTCATTTAACTTCTAGATGAATGTACGCATACATATTGAAATGCAAATGGGTGCTAGTGTATAGCAGCATTGTTGGGAGTAGCAGCATATGGGAAACAAATGCACACAATGGGGGCGCTGCTTACATGCCAGTGAGATGCTGTGTAGCCACTGAAAAGAACCAGGCAAGACTTCGTGTACTTACATTAAGAGCTATACATTTTAAATGTGAAGAAACAAGATAAAGATCAGTGTATGTAGGAAGGTTGGATATATATATATATATCCAAAAAGCTCATGGAAAAATTCCATTATCTTTTCATTCCATTCGTTTATGAACTTTTTGAAGGTCCCTTGTCTCTATGCATGGATATACCTGAGATTAGTATCCTTCCACCATACTTATCCAATCTGTACGCTGAGCAAATAATCTGAAAAACTGGCCTGTATGAAGAAGGACACAGTATCGGGATTAGAGGGAGGCTGGGGAACAACCTGCAATATTCGGATGACAACACCTTGTTTGCTGAAAGTGAAGCGGACTTGAAGCACTTATAAAGAGTTCAGCCTTTAGGATGAATTGCACCTCAACATAAAGAAAACAGAAATTCTCACAACTGACAGATTGCAACACAATTTAGTATTCACGGTTACTTATCCCTGCTAGGATAAAGAATAAATAAATGACACAGATAGATGGAACAGTATATTTTACAAGTAGGGAGATGCTGAAGCCATCTTGTAAATCAACAGAAGGCTTGACTTCAAGGATGCATCAGAGAGAGGCATTGTCCAGCTGCTGTGAAGAACTGAGGA